AGGGAGGAGGCGTTCTTAAAAGGCAGACTTCGGCCAGCGGCTTCCAGGCCCGTTTGCCAGAGGCTCCTCTTCAGCCCAGCCCTTTCCTTCTGGTTCTGGGCCCGGTCTCGGACCGCAGCAGGCGGGGCGGCTGAGGTTCTTCATACCACATCAGTATTCTCCATGCGGGGGAAAAGTAACTCAGAGACTCTGGCTTCTTAGCGGGCAGTCTCAGGAGGGCTGGAGGGGAGCAGAACTGGTGGTGAGCAGCAGGCTGCAGTGGGAGCAGGAGCAGGGCCGATAGAACCACCTGGAAACCTCAGCCCAGGGCCGCAGCAGCTGCCGTCTGAGGGGGCCCTGCCGGCTTTTAGCGCAGCCCAGGAAATCTTTCAAGAAGACCCAGCCCACGCACGGCAGCGCCCGTTGCCACGTCGGCCGTGCCCTCAGTTCCTGCGGCCACGGAAGCAGCCTGCCCGCTGCTCCTGTGACCGGGCCTGACTCAGTGTTACGCCAGGGAGGACGTGCCAGAGACCCTCTGTGGGGTCTTCAGAGGGCATCTCCTGCAGGTGGGAGGAATGGTGCAAGGCCCAAGGCCCAAGAGAGCTGCCTCACAGTTACCCTGCTGGAATGTTCCCAGTGGAATCAGTTTTAGCAGTGTACCAAGCCTCCTCCGCCACACAATTACAGGGTACAGTGGGGGACACAGGCGGGAGCCCGGGGGGTCATGAGCAAGGCCAGTATGTCAGCGGAACACCAGTCATCCCCCGAAGAGAAGAATCGGACAGCCCAGCACCGCTCACTTGGCGTTCGATTTTTCCGCTTTTGTTCCCGAGCAGCTGTGTGATTATCCCCCTTCTTACCGGGGTCAGCCAGCAGGCTGGCAGCGCTTGTACAAACAAACCTTGTCCCTCTCACCCCGCATAAGGTGTGTGACAGGGAGCCGAGCGCCTCGCGGGCAGTGACAAATGAGCTGGGAGGGCTGGGTGAGGCCTCGCCAGGCCGACGACGGGAAACGTCAGGGGTGCCGAGGCTCTGAGGGGTGGCCTGTGGAGCTGCGCCCCCACAGGGGTGGAGGCCGGGCGGGGGCCCCTCTCGGTGAGGTCGGCCAGGCTCTGGGAGGAGGAGGAAGGAGGGGAGCAGGAGAAAGCTGCTGGGCCTCTGGCATCCCAGAAGCTGCCACACGATGCCCCCAGACTAGGAGGTGAGAGAATGGGGGTCCCTCGGAACTCAGGACACACAGGCTCCTTGGAAAAGATGGGAAAGCAGGGAACTGCCAGCGCTCCCGCAGCTCCTGGGCACTTGTGCCAAGAGGCCGTGGGGCCGAGGCAAGGGCACCGCCGGCCTCAGGCAGGGCCAGCCCTGTGCCCGTGGCACAGCGCCCACTTAGCTCGCTCTTCACCGCCAGGCCAGCGGTCCCCACTTCTCAGGCCTCTGCCATCGCTGCTGTAGGGCCACAGAGGCCTGGGGCCTGTCCTCCCACCGGCCCTAAGTGAGCCCGGAGGTGATGCCGGCCCCTCGCCGGCCCGTGGGTGAGGCGGAGGAGACGGCCACCAGCTGTCCAGGGAGGACTCTCTCACGCCCTGCAGAGCTGCTTGGTCTTTGCAGCCGCTTCAAAAGCCTTCAGTCTGAAACGGCTCACTGGGAACACCTCAGTGCCTGAAAGGACGTGGGCCGGGACAGAAGCTGTGGGCGCGGCAGATCCTCGGGACCTTTAAATGATTCCCAGTGGCCTCGGGAGTGGGAGCACAGCAGGCTGGACGGCGCCATCACCCTCAAAGGCTGATTCTCCCAGAGCCAGCACCTCTGCTCCCTTCCCGAGGGTGCCTGGAACTCTGCACCCCACCCGCAGGCAACATCAGTGATCTCAAGTCCCTTTATTTTACATCTGAGGAAACTGAGGCCAGAGCCAGGTGATTTATGGGAGAGTACAGGGCTGGGAGAAGCCCCTGGTGGGCCACCCCGAGCTGTTCCCAGGTATTGGGGGGACAGCTCAAGTCTTACTTAACATGGGGAGTTGGGGCAGACGCCCCTAAATGCACCGCTTGCTGTCAGTCACGCCCCTCTGTTGCGCCTAAACATGTAGCTTCTGCTCTCTCTATTGTGTGCACAGCTAATTAATTTCAGCAGTTCGTGCAAAGCACACAGGTGGGCACCCCAGGGTGGGTGGACCCCGGAGGCTGCTCTGTTATCTGGTTGCCAGGGCGCTGGCTGGCCTGGTGGGGAAGTAGGAAAAAAAGAAAAATCGTAGAGCAGCTCGGGGCAGAGAGAAAATAGAAATAACCCTTGTGCGGCCGAGTGGCCACCGTGTGTCTTCTTCTAGTGGACATGCTGAAGAGGCCGCGGGCGTCCTCCCGGCGCGGCAGGCAGGTGCAGGGCGCGTCCTGAGCACGGGCAGCGCCCAAGCCAAGGCCACGGCCACTTGAGGCCAGGGTGACGCGCCCTGCTGGGCCGAGGCTCCCAGCGCTGCTCCGTGCAGGGCCGGCACGGGCGCCTGGGCTGTGCGCGCTCTCCGGGCACGCCTGGATGCGCTCGTCCCTTGGTACAAGCCTCGGTGTGGTAAGACGCCGCTCGCAGCCCGCCGTGCGCCTCACCCGCCCTCTGCTCTGTCTTCAGCAGCTGCAGCAGTCACACCTGCCCCGGCAGCACCTGCAGCAGCAGCGGAACCCCTACCCGGTGCAGCAGGTCAGCCCGTTCCAAGGTGAGGCCGGGCACCTCCATCCCCCCCCTCCGGGGCGGCGGGATGAGGGATGGAACGCGGGGCGGGACGCGGGGCGGATCCCGGGGCGGGACGCGGGGCGGGACGCGGGTGCAGCCGGTGACGTGGCCTCACACCTGTGCGTGCGCGTGCGCGTGCGCATCACCCAGCCAGCCCGCACGCCGGAGGCCCCGCCAGCCTGGGCGCTCACTGGTTGCGCGCTGGGGCCCAGGGTGGGGTCCCAGGGTGGGGTCCTGGTGGACCAGGGAGAAGGGAGCTGAGACCGGGCAGCTCCCGAGCAGATGACGCAAGCATTGCAGTAGTGAGCAGCCAGGAAGCCCCCCGGTACGTGCTGGCCGCGCCGCGTGGCCGAGGTAGGCCCACCTGGGTGGCGCAGCCCGGAGGATCTCGCTGGTCCCAGAGTTCAGCGGTCGGAGCCCACAGCCCGGCCGCCAGCGCTAGATGGAAGGCTCCGGGTGTGGGACCTGGCGTTTGCCTAGTGTCTGAGTCCGGCGCCCGAGGAGAAAATCCCAGTCCGTGACCCGCGCTCCCCTCCCCGGCACACACATGCCCAGCGTTGTCTGCCCTTGAGGGAAGAAGCTCCCCTCAAATACCAGAGCCTCCTATTTTATTTTCAGAGGCCCTTGAGGGTCTTCGCGGGGTGGAGCCTGAGCCCAAGGACCCTTCCCAGTGTCATCCAGGGCATGCAGGGATTTACAGGGCTCACCGCACCGGAAGTCCTGCCCCGCCGTCTTTGACATCCACGCACCGGGCCCCTCCAGGGTTAAGAGTCTGCCTGCAGCAGTGAAGCCCCTGGCTACAAAGTACGCAGAACGCAGAACACCTGGCCCCACTCACACCAGAGCTTTGCCCTCCTCGGTGGGCTTCGGGTGAAAGATTCAGGAGCTGGGCCAGCGTTTCCCTGGCTCTGGGTGACACGGCACAAGGAGTCACGAAGAGGGTTGAGTGGACCACAGCCAACATTTTTAAATGAAATATGGTAGACGTGACCAGAGGGCGTGATTTGGTGCCTGCGACGAGCTGCTGCGTTCACAAACCAGCCAGCGCGCCGAGAGCCGTGGTCTGGAGGCTCTGAAGCCAGGCGCTCACTGCAGCTCCCCTGAGGGGTGATCAGAAGAACGCTGGGCCATTTCCTCCCATCCTTGGGGCTTTGAACTTGACCCAGGAGGGGCAAGAGGAATCACCTGTCGGCAGGTGTCTGTGGCTAAATTCGCGCCAGCATCCTCACCTTTAACCTGCTTGAGGATCCCCCCAGAACTTGCTGAGACAAGGCCGGTCGCCGGCCCCACCCCACAGTTTCTGAGCCAAGAGTTTACATTTCTAGTAAGCTCCCCCAAGCTCCTAGAGGTGAGGAAGGGCCACACTTAAACAGGTGATTCGCTTTGGGAACAAATTAAAAACATCAAGTCTGATCAACCTGGCAGTGTGTCCCTGGAGTTTTCTAGATTCATCACATTTATTTTACTTTTAAAATAAAGGGACCCACCATAATTAATTCTTCTGTGTTAGGAGTCACTCAGAATACTTCGGGACTAGTTTAAAAGCTCTAGACCATTTCTAAAGTCCCAAATCAGCGGTCATCAAACACAATATGTAGCTTCTCTTAAACCAAACCACCTGCATCACTGTAGGGCCCTTGGGCCGGTTAATAATCTTTTCACCATCGTCAGTGTTTTCCTGATACCTGGGTGCAGGATGCCCTGTGTGCAGAGAACAGCTGAGCACGGCTGACAGAGCGTGTCTGCTAGAATAACTTGCACAGAGCCGGTGGTGTTTCCACCACACTCTTCAAGGCTTAAAGGACCCTCTTCCTCTTGAGCCCTGGCCTTCTGGGCAATGTTCCAAGCCTCTGGGAAGACCCTTACTTTGCATAAACACGGGCTCTTGTGAATGAAAGTCGAGCATGGACCCTGAGAAGAAACAAATCGCGTGTTATCAGTAACCTCTATTGGAATATAGAAGACTGGCTGACTCTCCTGGTGATGTTAACCAGCGGAAAAGAAGGTTCATTTGACTGTAGCATCTCACCGCAGTATCAGTTTTAGACAAAAAGAAGAAAAGGAAGCCTGGTGTAACAAATGTCGGGATCAAATGGAGACAAGTTACTCCTTTGAATACACTGGAATTTTTTCCTTGTATAGTTTAAGTTATGGGAGGCAAAAAAATTAATGGAAGTCTTTTGTGTGTCTCATAGTTTCAAAATAATGATTTTTAAATGCCCTTTATCCCCCTCATAAGAATTGCACCTCATCAGTCATTTACACTAAGAAAAATAAAGGCTAATGGACTAATGTTTCAGTTTCTCTAAAAAGTATCACAGTATGTCTGTTCTTTAAAAAAAAGAACCTATTTCTCATTCACAAAATTACTGCAGACAAACCAGCCCCTCAACTTACCCCTTACAAACACACAACAAAAATGCCCAAATATGAACAGCCTGTCACCTCTTTCCTGCAGGCCAGCTCCTGTCTCTATAATTTGATTCTGTCTCATCAGTCTGAGTCAGCAATATTTTCCCTTCAATTTTGCAATAAACAACTCAGTAACGCATTTTGCCACCCTGATCACATTGGCCGAGCAACCAGCACAAATTTGGCCAGTTACTATCGCAGAACTTCACACGGCCAATACAAGCTACAGTATATGTCCATTCAGTATCTCATCAGGAACTTTTGACCTTAATAAAAAAAAAAATCACTGAAATATAATTAAGCTTAAAGCAACAACAACAAAAAAAAAAAACCCAAACAACTCTAGGGATCCCTCCCATCGCCCCACAGTGCCCCCCTGGTGCCATCTTGTTTTTCCAAGCCACTGAAGACCTCAAGCCACAAAAACCGAAGTGATAATGAGAATTCCTGTCATTTCTTTCTTAAAGAAAATACGGAGACGTGTTTGCCGTCCAGAGCTCAGTAACCCCATCAGAAAAGCACAGACAGGAGCTGGCCTGCAGGAAAGAGGTGACAGGCTGTTCATATTTGGGCATTTTCGTTGTGTGTTTGTAAGGCGTAAGTTGAGGGGCTGGAATGTCTGCAGAAAAGCACAAACAGACGCCGGTGCCTGGTTCCTAGCCCGGCACATGTGGCAACACATGTGCTTCCGAGAGGGGCTGGTGCCACGCTCCAGCTTCCGAAACACCCAGGGAGACGCGGTTTTCCTTTTGCTCATGGACTCACTGGTCAGCAGCGCTACGGAAAACTGTCCTCGTGCCCCCGGCCCTTCATTGCCCGGTGCGGTGCTGAGAGCGGTGTCTCTCCTCCTGGCGGGTCGGAAGCTTCCCGGGAACGAAGGGGGGCAGCAGGCGGCCGCCGGAACAAGCCGCGTCGCTGGAGGAGCGGACTCCGTGAGAAAGGCGTGAAGGGCATTGCCAAGCAGCAAGTAGCAGGCAGGTGTCCGTGTCTAGCCCGGGAAGCCGGCCAGGCTGCCCTGACGAGTCACGGTGCAGACAGTGTGGCGCGTGGCAAGTCTGCAGACAGGCTCCGAAACATCCCGTCTGCCCGAAGAGCTTCTTGGCAGAAGCACTGGCCTTCCACCTCCCCAGTCCGACTCAAGCCTTAAGGGAAACGAGTGATGGTCTTTATTGACATATTCTCCACGGAACCGTGTCCCGCGTCACAGACACAATGTGCAAAGCGATCGGCCGATTCCCCTAACGGCCCAGGAGGTGAATTTCCTCTCTCCTCCGAGGAAGACGCCGTCTTGCTGGCGGGGGGTGGCCGCCCATCAAAAAGAGTGAGAGACACTTTGCCTCTGAAATGCGCACAAAAATAGAACCGGGCTCTAGCCGAGTGGGGCGTCAGCAGCTGCAGCAGTGAGTGTGGCTGCTTCTCGGCCAGCGGTCGTCCGCCGCGGGCAGCCTCCCGTGTGGGGGCCCAGCGATTTTCGTTTTCTTCGTGCATTTCGATGCGTTTCGGTTTCACAGTCAGC